ATCAATTATCAGCTTAGATTTTTAGTTGAGTCAGAATACATGTTTTAATTTGGTATCGGAGCTAACCTCATGCCAATGTTCATGGGTCAAATCTCTTCACCTGATAATTAAAAGAGTCTATGATTCACGTGTTGTTTGGAGCTCGTCAAAAGTAACCAACTCATGACATGAGGGGCTTTTAGAACAATATAATATATAAACATAAATATACAATAGAATTATCGACTTACCATTTTAATTAGTTGAGACAGAGCACATCCTTTAATTGATTTTACCTAAAGTACACCTTCAAATAGTCCATAAATCAAAGAAAATTCTTTATTACTTAGTTTTCAGAAAATAGTCAAAACTTATAAATTGCCTTAAACTTCTAACTGCAGACACACAGGCCACAGCTTAAATGCAATCAGAATACAATTTAATTAGTTAAAAGGGAAAATGATACTTGCATTTCCTATTATATTTCAGAAGTTAGTTTATCATCTTTAAGTTAATGCTAAAAGCTCTACATTTATTGCAACAATTTGTTTTCTCATCAAACCTTGTGGTCCCATCTGATTAATTTAAGATTGGACTTAAAAGGGGTTGGAACATTATAATTAGGCCAAATAATATTCGAAATAAATTTTGGATACAAATAATTTGGAGAAAATGGTATTTTCCTCTTAAAATGCATTAAAAACATCCTGCCCCGACTCTTCACTACATATTGCCCGCCCCAGTTTAACTCACTGATTCAGTAAGCAGTATTTGGAAGAAGATACTAAGGTTTCAATTTCGGCAAGCAATGTGAAGATTATGCACAAAATTGACAGATCTCTTGTGCGCACCGACATTTGACCATGTTTGGTAAACCATTGAGTCATTGTAATTTACATCCTCCCAAATGCTCTATTGAGTCGGGGTGTAGGGGCCCTTAGGATTAGGAATTCAACCTTCTGAGGGAAGAGTACATACAATTAAATGCCTCAAAATGAGTGCGTGACTCAAGTGAATGAAGCGTGATTCTTCTTTAATTTCCAAATGATTCTTGTACTTGATGAAGCATGATCTCGCAATTCAATTGTTGCCAATATCTTCTTGGTCAAATTTGTCACACAGGGTCTTTTTAGTGCGATTTCCTTCTTCTATAGTTTTCCTCATCGTCCCAAAAAAAAAAAAAAAAAACAAAATACAATTAAATACCTATAACTTTGGTTTATTTACTTAAAAGATTTTTTTGTAAGGTAATTTTGGTTTTTCTTGTAAACTTAGATGAAGTCACATCATTTGTGAAAAGATTTGATGCAAGTAACATTATCTCATACAGTATAGATGGCAGAATAAGGTCCGCACGGGCTTAACTCACTGGTTCAGTAGGTAGTATTTTAGGGAATTGAAGAAAAAGAAGATTGGCAGAATAAGAATTTATTATTATTACACAAATTAAACTATGGAATATCTCAAAAGTGACCCCTCAACAACTGCCTTTTGCAGTAATTATGAAGGAAAAGAATGACATCAGGAGAGGTGGCAGCTTCCATTTCCCTTTCAAAAATAATCCCAAGTACCCCCACAACTTGCAATTGGAAGTTAAGCAACAAGCTAAGTATACCAACCATTTTTTTTCTGCTCATTATTTTCTTATCCTTCAAGTGAGAAAGAAGTTCAGGTGGTTGGATGGTTGAAGTATTCTGCAAAGTATTTTTCAAAAGTAAACCAATATTTTTTTATATATATACATTAGGTATCCCAGCTTAACCCCAGAGTCGTTGGACGAAGTAAATTGTGGGTCCGTCAGTCCCAAAGTTCTCACTTCTACCTATACACTTTACACACAATACACACAATGAGTCTTTATCTGTTCTGATCGATCAAGGTCTCTCAATGCTTTTGGAGCAAAACTTTAAAATATCAGTCGAGCCAACTAAGCTAGCCCACGGGACAATCATATCATCATATGCTTTATACATACTCCAATGCTGGATCCTCATACGTGCTTATACCTTCCAGTTTCTGTACTAAAACACATTTATGCGTGCTTCCATCTGAACCTCAGACAAGTATCTGAAGCTGTGTACAGGTTCTTTTTCTCCTGAATTATTGACCATTTCTTGATAAAAAGAATAGTTGTATCTATTTCAAGAAGAAGAAGAAGAAGAAGAAGAGGAGAAGTTATCATGCCTTTTGGTCTGGTTGCAGCTTGGAACAAGCGCAGGAGGAACAAGTCTGATGATCAGAGTAATCCCTGTATGTTTTCTGCTTCCTGTCATCTTTAAATTCTTTCTGGTACCATGATGTTTTTTTTTTTGAGTGATGAGAAAACCTGGATGGACTAAATCTCGTTGTGATCCTAACGGACCACAGGGAGGTAAATCAGTTTAGGTTGTCCATTGCTGACAGAGGCAATAAGTCTGTGATATTTTTTAATTTTTTGAGTGACGAGGAAAATTCGCAGCTGAGAATGTGCAATGGTTGAATCCCGCCTTGTGACCTTAACCAGCAAAGGATCATAAACTGGCCTAAGTTACTCCATAGCTGATCGGCTCAAACCAAGAAGGCGAATGGACTCATGTGGTTGTTGTTGTGTTTCAGGGGTTTATAAACCTGCAGAATGTTGGCTAAATGAAGAGCAGAACCCACCTGCAAAACGGCGCCATGGATCATCAGTTTTCACTCTCAAAGAAATGGAGGAGGCCACGAATTCGTTCCGGGACGAAAACCTGGTGGGGAAAGGAGGATTTGGTCGCGTATACAAGGGAACGCTCCGGTCTGGAGAGGCATGTATAATGAATAATGGTGAAGATATATAGTTATACATACATCACTGAACTAGCTATCTGATAGTGCAGTTGTGTTTGGGATTTGAAGGTTGTGGCAGTGAAGAAGATGGACTTACCATTGTCCAAAGAAGCAGAAGGGGAGAGAGAATTTAGAGTGGAGGTTGATATCTTGAGCAGACTGGACCATCCCAATCTGGTGTCTTTAATAGGCTACTGTGCAGATGGGAAGCAAAGGTTTCTGGTTTATGAATATATGCACAAGGGGAACCTCCAAGATCACTTAAATGGTTGGTTTGTTAATTTCACCCAAAAAAAATTAAAATTAACCAACTTGGTTGGCGTTAGTAGTCGAGAGGTTGGGAGTTTGAACCCCATCTTGTATGGAAAACCAATCTGGCCAGCACTTTGTTCCTCGGGCTTAAATGTGCCTCGTACAGTTAGGGCCTACTCAAGACACCTCGTGGTCTAACCCAAAAATAAAAAATAAAAAATTGCAATTTTGTTAATTTAACTCAAAATGCAATTCTCCTAGTTTTCTAACAACTGTACTGCAGGGATTGGAGAGGTGAAGATGGAGTGGCCTTTAAGGCTAAAGGTGGCTCTTGGGGCAGCAAGAGGGCTTGCATATCTCCATTCAAGTTCTGCTGTTGGGATTCCTATAGTTCACAGGGACTTCAAATCTACCAACATTCTTTTGAGTACCAAATATGAAGCTAAGGTTAATCCCATGCATATTCTAGTGTTTAATTTCATTAGATCTCGAATAAAGATTTTACAATCGTTGTTGACTGGTTGTGCAGATATCGGATTTTGGACTTGCAAAGTTGATGCCAGAAGGCCAAGAAACTTGTGTCACTGCTAGAGTGCTTGGCACTTTTGGTTATTTTGATCCTGAGTATACACTGGTACAACTATAGCCGTTAACTGTTTAGACAACTTTTTGTATTTAATATTCTATTACCCAATATGTTAGTTGGCTATAAATTTGACAATTAAAAAAAAAAAAAGTCAAGGGACACTAGGTAAAATTAACTCCATTTAAGTTTTGAAGATTGCAAGTTTATCGCTGTTTGTTCACTTGCAAATTTGGTCTACTTTTGCAACAGACAGGAAAACTCACTTTACAGAGTGATGTATATGCATTTGGGGTTGTGATGCTTGAGCTTCTGACTGGGCGAAGGGCAGTTGACCTCAATCTTGGGCCAAATGATCAAAATCTGGTGTTACAGGTAATGACACTTGATCCACCATAGCATATCCTAGATCATGACTAAACCAGTCCTAAAAACTAATACCGTAGAATATCTTAGACAGAGCTTCAAAATGGGTTGGGTCTACCAACTAAATAAGGGCGGTTAGGTCAGGGTGTTAGTTTCCGGCAAATTATTCTGTGAACCCAAGTCCACCTTGCAAGGCGAACTTGGGGCTACTGGCCAAAACACAAACACAAAGCTCATTTTGCTAGTTGTAACTACCAAGTCATTACTCTAATTAAAAAACAAGGTTGACTAAGGAATCGTTGTGACTATTATAGGTGAGGCACATTTTGAATGACAGGAGGAAACTGAGGAAAGTGATAGACCCAGAGATGAGCAGAAGCTCATACACAATGGAGTCCATCACCATGTTTGCAAACCTAGCATCTCGATGCGTCCGGACCGATAGCAGTGAGAGACCATCAATGGAGGAATGTGTAAAAGAACTTCAACTCATTCTCTACACAAACACAAGAGGACTGGGAATGACTATGCATGCATTCAGAATGATCTGATCTGATCTGAGATGTTGAAATGGATGTTTCCAATAGCAGGGATTGGCATTGCCAGGTCAGAAATGGACTCTGGAGTAGCAACCATGCAAGAATAATACTGTAAAATCCTTCATATCAACAGGAAGAAGATGAGTTTCTTGATAATTTAATGATTCCCGCTCAAAATGTCAAGATCAATAGTGGTGATAATTCTCATCAACTTATTGCTTACCACTCTTCAAGCCCATTAATATTATTGCAATTGAAATATACCATTGCAGATATCTTTCTTGCTTTTTCTTTGGGTTCAAAAAGATGTAAATCAGTGCATACATTTGGTTGTACTTTTCTTACTACAAGGCTACATTTTCTTGTTTCATTTGAATTCTTCTTCTACGATGGAGAATAATAAAGGAATTTTTTTTAAGATTCTTAATTTGGTGTGGTTTTATATATATGCTGAAAAGCCTACAAGAACAATATTACCATTTACCAAGTAATAGCTTCATAAACCAATCCTTGTCAAACCACACAGCAATTTACTGATTTATAAGCCACATACAGAGTAACTCTTAATTTTATGAAATTGAAATAAATCTAAATCTAAAGACTAATAGTAATAATACTATAGAACAACAAAATTTTGAGATAGTAGCAGGAAGCCCAAGGTTCATCTCAGGTTTGGGACTTCGATTAGAGCAACAAGCATTGTGAGAACTCCCCATATAAAGTAAGAACTCAATAACTTTGTTTGATAATAATAAATCCAGCTATTTTTCAAGATTTGACTCACTTTAGCAATTTAACCCTTGATCAACCTGGTAAAATAAATGTTTGGTCATTGTTAGATTAGCATAGCAGATAACCATCAATCTGCTAAATTTAAATTTTAAAAAGCTACTTGAATTCAAGTTTTGCAATAAGTTCTTTTAAATTTAGTGAATTGATGGCTATATATATAATTACCTATTGTGTATGGATATGTCATCATACTATGAACAAATTAGGACTAAAAAAAGATAAATAATACTCCGTATCAAATATGAATATTAATTTTTATTTAATTTTCTAAATGAAAGCTAGCAAATAAGGTTCGCAAAATACTCTTTCAGCACAAGCAATGCATTGGAGATCACAATGTTAATCATTGCCATTATCCAAAGCAGTGTGCTATCATTATCCCAAAACTTAAAGCACATAAGCAAGCACTGAACCAAAAATGATTTCAAGTGCCATGCCACTTCAAACAACAGAAGACATTTTCGCACTCAGTAATTAAATTTGATCATTTACCTATAAATCTGCAAAGAAGCTTGAACTACTTGTGCTTTGCCCTTTACTTGTGGTTTTCGTCTTCTTTCCTGCAAAGAGTGCAGCAGTATTTGAATTAGGAAGCAAGGGTAGCAAAAGTTGGGATTAACCGATTAACCAGCAACAATAGTTGGCTAGTATGGAGAAGATAGGCAAAAAAACAAAACAAAACAAACAAGGTGTGTGACATTCAGAGTTGGGAGCATTTTCCTAACTAATGATGTAGGAGTGATATCCACCTATTCAATTATTCCAATTTGAGAACACCTTAAATAATAATTTTAATTACATGTATCCAACAACAACCGCAGTGGTCAGAAAATAAGATAATATCAGCTAAAATGATCAACTTGTGTATGTAACTGCCTAAATATGACTTCAATGTGACATAAATATGTAATATAAGTAAGACCTTTGGATGATTTTGGAATACTATCATCAATCTCCATTTCATCACTATCACTATCACTATCAGCTTCAGCTGCCTGATTCGTGGTATCTCCAGAACTTGACAGTATTTCATCCAAATCCCACAGCTGTATACAAAAATGAGAATAGTGTGAGAGATAGGTAGGGAGAAGGAAAGACAAATACATTTGACAAGCATATAGAAATCACCAATAACATAAACAAACAGAGACGCATGGACCTTCAATGTCTGATCATGTGATATGCTCCCAAGAAACTTTTTATCATAAGAGAAAGCTGCAATATTGAATAGCAGAAGTTACAAATACTAATTTGGCTCAAGTCCAAGTTATCAGAAAAATATTTGACCAAATGGAGACAAACAAATGCTAGTAGATGTCACTGACAAAAAAAAAAAAAAAAAAAACACCAATCCAAGGTTAGAGACCAGTTCAATCTCAAAACTTAACATAGAATGTAAGATCTAAATGAGCTCATACCGAGACGCTCAACAGGATATTCTGAATGTTCGGCAATTGGCTGAATTACTCTGTTTGGTAATATTCCCACCAAACTAAAGAGAAAATAAGAGGATAATAAATAACAGTTTAATTTAGACATGTAGAACTGGCAATTCAAACATGTCAAGCAGCTTTCCGCACCTGATAAGTCCATTCTCAGATCCAGTGATTACTCTATCTTCATCAAGCTTCACAATAGGAACAATTGGAAATTATTGGATTTCGAATATAGAATCAGTTACTGATTACTCAGTACTTTGTTAAATCCGAATCCTTATTATAGACTACAGACGAAAAACACTCACTTTCAACAGTGCATCCACCGAGTTTGGTGACAAATCGACAAACCGATCACTGGAAAATAAAAGTCAAGAAAATTAGAATGAGTTCAAACAAGTTCAACAATTAGATGAGAGATCCAATATTTCCAGTCTAATTCACTTATTCTTCCTGAAGGTGAAATACCTGCAATCCTTAAAGAAGCCCCAGGAGTACAATAACAGAGTTCCACCCTGAGTCCCACAGATAACTTTTCTACCATTCTGATGAGAAAGAGAGTTGTATTATTAAATACAGGCAATTATTTAAACAGCCTGCTGCTCTGACATGATTGGAATGCCAAAGCCACCCCAAAAAAAAATGAAATAATATAATCAGAAAAAAGATATCTACCTTCATAATCACAACAGAAAGCAGCTCATCTTCAGAAAACTCTGACTGAGTTTGGACCTAAGAGGTAAGATATAAAAAAATAAAAAATAAAAAAAAAAAAAATATATATATATATATATATATATATATATATATATATATATATATATAAAATAATAATAATAATAAAATTCTCATGCAAATTCAGAACTAAAATTCTCATGATTCATGTTGTACACATCTTTAAATCTTTCGAAATGGATCATTAAAAGCAATGACTCATTTAAATCATTAGAGAGCATCATCTTATCAATGTAGTTGGGGAATTAGCACCCGAGTACCCGATACCCACATATATGCATAAAAAGTGAAATGCAGAAATCCAATTATTACCTTATTGCTTCGTAAGTTGCAGACAGAGAGAGTCCCATCACCACTGAGATTTAAAATTAAAAAAAAAATTAAAAAAAAAAAAAAAGGATCATCATCAAAGTCAAATAAAACAACTACAGCATTCCAATTTAAAATATGAAGATTTGCTGACTGAGGGACTTGAAGCTCAAGAACAGACAAATATCACAAAAAAAAAACACATGAAGACAATTATTTAGGGAAAAATAGCCAGTGGTTCTAGAACCATATGCAAAAAGTTGGAAATTTGTGATCATATTATATAATAAAAATGGAGCACATTTTACCCTCTCCCCTCTATCTGAACAGTGAACTCTCATTCTAACACTATAGTTGACCAAACAAACACAATAAGTTAATATACTTAATCAAAGAAGATATTAAAATGATACATAAACTACATCAGGTCCATAGGGCATCTCATCAACTTTGTGGAAGTTGGTAACTAACCACCAGGCCCCGTAACAAAAGCAATGTGACATTGTTTATTTTTCATCCTTATATGATAACCACTTTAGAAGAATTAACTGTGCCTGACCAGACCTATCATGACTATGCCTATCAATTGATTTATCTGTCACTACCTGTGGCACTTAAACTAAAGCCAAAGTGAATAAATAAAGTGTCCCCTAAAATCAGGTCAAAATATAATGCTAAATAACAGGTGCACTAGAAACCTTTAGAAATGTGTCATGACTGAGATAGAAAGAGAGAAAAGGAGCATTGGTCATTATTACCTTGTCGCAAGTAATTTCATGGAATCAGGTGCAAAAGTAATATCTGAAATGTATTCCTCATGGACTTGAAAAGAATTGCAGCACGAATTTTGTCGAGTATCCCACACCTATATGATGGTGAAATTAGAAATTATAACTAAAATTTCACTTTAACTTGATAAGTTAAAAACACTCAGCAACTGTAATCTTATGCTTCAAATGTAGAAACAGAACCAGAAAACAAAAGAAAGAGAGGTATTCAAATGAAAAGCACTAAAATAGTTTTGTTTATCCTACGAGAAAAAGGGGGATTACAAGCATACTGTATAGGAAAGGATACTAATAATAGACTAGCCAAATAGGCAGTCAACATCCTTTGAGCATTATACTGCATTAAAGTTAAAAAACAATTGCACTGCTAAAATAATCAAATAAATTGGATAAATGGACACAGTTCAACAAAGACTCAACAAACTGTTAATACACAGCACTCACATGCAATCATATATTGATATCATATCTTATAAGCTTCACTTGGCAGTCAACATCCTTCACACAGCACATTGCATTAAAGTTAGATATGGATGTGCTGCTAAAATATTTAAATGAACTTGATAAATCAAGACACCTCAAAGAACACTCAACAAACTATTAACCCACAGTATTTACCTACCATAGTACCATCATATCTGATAACCAAAAAAACACAATGTCTAGTTGTTCTGGACTTTAAAATTTTAGTTTTCTAATTGTTTCAATGTTTGGGTATTCAAAATTGACCTTTACACAACCCTCATCATCCCCAGAGGCAACGGTTGACTCCGTTAAATTGACAATTCGATTAACAGCAGCCCTGCATCCAAAGGGAAAAACCAATATGAAAGCTCAAGTAAATACCATTATAACACTTATTCACTAGGCATCAGCTCTAAATTTCTATAACCCACCCATGAGAATTCTCCACACGAGCAACTTCTGATCCAGTTTCAACATCAGTAGCAAGGATAGAACAATCTGGTGATCCCGTTAGGATTGCTGAACACCCATTTTTAAAAATAAAATGAGGCTTAGTATTTATTATCACAATTGGCACGAAAACAAGGGGGGAAAACAAGGGGGGAAAACAAGTAAATTAGCATAATTACTCCGTCCATCATTGATGAATCTGACCGCTCTGCAGGATTCAGTATGTGCATGTACCGCGAACAGCCTACAAGTCATATAACAAAAAATCAAAATCCTCTACAATAAGTAAAAATAAATCCGCAAAAAGATATGATACAACTGTATATGCACGATACACGTTCTTTCATCGTACCTTTTAGGTTGAGAATCCGCGGTGTAACGATGCCTGCATTAAGTAATTCAGCGGATTAGTTTATCTCTTTTGCCTTCTTGGGAATCTATTTAGTAAAGAACTACTTACAGAAGAAGGTCACCAGTGATTAGACCAGTAGCGACAAGATTATCAGACGGATGAAAATCAAGGTCGAACGGGAGCTTTTCTAAATCTATCTCCACCGCAGCCATTGTTGTGCTCCGAGAGGTTTTGCTAGGGTTTTTGGAAATTTTTACACTGGCTGATGGCCTGATGTTATGGTGCCGTGTCGTGTGCCCGTGTGTTCAGTATGACTTTGTGCTTTGCAGTTTGCACATGTATTTTAGAATTTCTTTGAATTGTTAGAAGGGTGTAAATGTGTAATTGTCCCTTTTTTTTTTTATTTAAGTAGTATAATTGTACTTTTTAGGTTATATTTATATATTTATATTTATTGACCAATTTGACCCTTATTTTATTTGGAGTATATAATAATAGTATAATATTTGTAAAGTAATTTACAGTTGTATCATTATAAAAGTACAGACAAATAATACTAATATCATATCTAAATCATTCTCAATAATGCAATAGCATAATTAAAATATTCAGTATTGTTCTAAATAATCAAAAGAAGATTAATTAGATGAAAAAAATTAATCTATATTTTTTTTAATGCAAACAAAAAAAAAAACACATATTTTCAATGCTACTTTTTTTTAATCTTTGATAGTCAACTTTGATTGCTATGTATATAGTTTTACTAATTAATTGACCAAAGTACATGTTAAATTTTATAGAGAGAATGGTCAAATTAGCCCATGAACATTACTCAATAAGTCAATTAGACTCTTAAACTTTCAAAAGTTAATTAAACCCTTAAACATATTATTTTAGAGTCATTAAGGCTCGAAAACCAGTTGGTAACTTATAAATTACAAGTCACTAGGGTTTCGGCGAAATTCACACCATATTATGGCAAAAAACATCGATGAAACGATCGTCAGTGTCATTTGATTGCCTTCTCCTCGACTCCGGGCTCCGACGGACTACCTCACCCCGGTGGGGGGAGGGGGGCGAATTATGAGAGCCCATTTGGCTCCTTGACTGCCGACGAGTTCTACTCACGCCACTCGGTGAGTCACGGCTCCTAGTTCGTCACCAATCCTCGCGGTCTCAAGTTGTTCACCCCACTAGTGGACCCCATTCCCTCTTACAAAGGTGATTGGCATCGTCTGCATCGTCCAAGGCTTCACCGACGACTCCAACTGGCTCATCCAACTCACTGTCATGCACATCGTAAAGCAAGGGTTCGTCGTCTGCGCCATCGACCACCAAGGCCACGGCTACACCGAGGGGCTGAAGGCTCACATACCGGATATCAACCCCGTCGTCGACGACTGTGTAGCGTTTTTCGACTCGTTTCGTGATTGCCACGTGCCGCTGAAGCTGTCTTCGTTCCTCTACGAGGGATTATTGTTCTGCTCATAACCCTCTAACGCAGCGATTCCACCCCGAAACGGCGCTTCGACGACGTCGTTTTGAACGGGGCCATGTTTAACATGAGCGATAAGTTCAAGCCGTCGTGGCCGTTGGAGCATTTCCTTGACATTGCGGCGTACTTCACCTTTCCCCCATTAAATTCTGTTTTAGAGTAGTCTCAGGTCTCATAGAATTTGGTTTCCAATTCCTGTTTGGGGGGAATTAAACAAAAAGACTATTATGTCCTAAGATTTCATGGCTGAGATAGACAGACTTAACGGAAGGACTATTGAAAGTCAATTTTGAAATTCGGAGGATGACGGAAGGTCGAAATAAAAGTTTAGGACCATTGATGACGGAACAACTAAACTCGAGGGAGCTTAGCTGGTATTTACTCGTGTATTTATTTATTTATTTCAAGAGTATTAAGACAATAAGATTGTCGTGTGATTTTGTTAACTTGTTTTGTTGTGTATTTGATTTGCATGTTTTCACTTAGCATTTTTACTTGATTTTGTAATGGCTGTTGCGCTTCAAGATTTTGTAATGCATATCAACTCGTTCAAATTCTGTTTAAAAAATTTGTGGTTAACGGACCAATAAGAAAAAGTTCAATTCGATTAACTGTACGATTGTTTGAATGAATCCAATTTGTTTACATATACAAAATTGTTACTCTATAATTTCTAACTTTAGACACATAATAATGATAATATTAGAAAATTTCAAATTTGGTCACATGACTATAGGGACTTTGTTAATTTCATCACATAATATTTAAAAGTGTCAATTTAGTACATTGAGTATGTAATTTTTGTCAATTTTGGTCACTCTGGTCAAATTGCCGGTCAAATTTGACCGGAAAAATTTAATCCAGCATTTAGTCTATAATCTGAGGGGCAAAATGGTCTTTTGATCCTTTTTTCTAATTGTTGTTGACTCGGTTCAAACACATTTGACCAGGTTCGACTTTAGCTTCTCCAGGTTACATATCTCCGCGCGAGATTTGGGCGTTATTATCCAACAACGGGTTGCTGGAGGACGGCGACTGGTGCCGTTGCATCGGCAAAACAGCTGAATCATTAGTATCCACGGTGCCACAAGAGATTAAGTTTTGGAAAATGATTGTCGAGAGTGGCATGTCGCTCTTTTCCTCATCATCGTCCTTGCCGCCGCGCTTCTTCTTCGCGAACAACAAGCGAAGGAATGAGGATTTTTTATCGGCGTCGACGTTGTGCCTTCTGTCATGTTGCTTTTTTTCTTCTTCAAGCTGAACCGGGTCAACAACAATTAGGAAAAAGGATAAAAAGACCATTTTGCCTTTCAGATTATAGACTAAATGTTGGAATAAATTTTTCCGGCCAAATTTGGCTAGAGTAATCAAAATTGACAAAAATTACATACTCAAGGTACTAAATTAACACTTTTGAAAGTTATGTGCTGAAATTAACAAAGCTCATATAATCATGTGACCAAAATTGAAATTTTCTCTCAGGACAAATTTTGATGAAAATTTGTAGTCTATGGAACACTAGCCCCTATAGTCTATGGTTCATGGAAAATCCTTATAGCGGAGGAAAATGTTGTTTTCTTGTGTTTAGTTCATGGAATTCATTTTTCATTGGAAAATGAATTCCTCAAATTTGAGGAAAACAAAATCTTTGGTTGGACCAATGATTTTGTTTTCCATGGAAGATAGGAAGAAAAAATGAGATGGAATACCTATTTTACTCTTGTTTACTTTTTTTTTTTTTATTTTATTTTAATTATATTATATTACTTTTATTAATTTGTAGGGATATATAGGTCTTTATACTCGTTATTCCTTACAATTCTAAATCTAACCAAACAATAAATTAGTATTTCCAACAATTCTTTTTCCACCAACCAAATAACGAAATTCATATTCCTAATAATTGTTTTTCCATGAAATTTTAATTATACTTCTCTTAAAAAATTTTCCGCTAACCAAACAAGTCCCGACAATATCATTTTATTTTAAATACTCCGTATATCTGTTGGGCCAAATTGGCCTAAAACCCTGTTTCTCAAATTAAATATAGCGAGCAAAGCTGAAGCAAATGGTGTGAATTGGGAGTTGAACGCGACAGTGTGTTTGGAGCCAAAGCCATAGATGATGATGACAGATCTGAATACAAATGAACTAGACGTCGAGCAATCCATGGAGGGCATGCTGAGTTGCTCAGCAACAGAGACGACATGTGCGATCAGGAAGGAGAAGAGAAAAGCGGCAAAGAAGGACAAGAGGAAGCAGAAGAGGAGGGAGCTGGCGGAGAAGTTACGAATAGAAGAGGACGCTCGCATCAACGATCCGGAGGAGCAGCGCAGGATTCAGCTGGAGGAGGAGGCGGAGAATCAGAGGCTAGAGAGAGAAAGGAAGGAATTCGAGGAGAGAGAGCGGCTATTTCTCGAGGAACTAGCTCGCAGAAAAGCTGAGGAGGAAGAAGAAGAGCGGATAAGAGCTATTGAAGAAGAAGAGAGGTTGAAACAAAACCAGGTTTGCACTCTTCGCCAATCACCATTCTATACACAGTCCATTTCATGCCCCTATTGTGCTTAATCGATGTATGGAAAATTTGAAAGTCACCTATTAGTTTTGCCAATTTTTGCCTTGGAATAATGCAAAGAAATCAGGTTCCTGGTATGAGCAGAACACAAACTAGAAAGCAAGTTAGGAAAGAGCTTGCTTAGAACAGTTATGCATAACATATTCTATGATATTGAAACAGATTGACAGATAGTCATACACATTGCATTTTAAGTCCTCCTTTTCTCTAAACTTATGCTCATTTGATGACATTTTACTGTTACCTCAAAAACCTTCAATAGGCTGCCTGTGAAAACGAAGAAAAGGACGATGAAGAGTGGGAATATGTAGAAGATGGGCCTCCTGAAATCATATGGCAAGGAAACGAGATAATTGTCAAGAAAAACAGAATTAGAGTGAAAAAGAAAGATGTGGAACATCTGGCCGTTAAAGAGGTAGCAATTACTATTTTACTTCCAGACATTTTGTCCATTGCTCTCTATGCGGCATGTTGAACCTGTGAAATACTGATATGAGGTTATTGTGGGCTTATGTAGGATCCGTCTAGGCCAACTTCAAATCCTTTACCTCCACAATCTGAAGCTTTTGACGAATACAATAATGCTTCCACACTTTCAGCACAAGGGCTGTTGGAAAATGTTGCTCAACAGACTCCAAATTTTGGGACAGAACAAGTAGGTTTTCCTTTCTACTTATTAGTATGTCTTCCCCAGATAATACATCTATTCATGTAAATGATATTAAATCCTAAGCCTATCTCACCCTCATCCCAATTTCTTTTCTTCCCCTTTCTTTCTAGCAGTTATGCCTCATCCCTTGGCTGATCTTATTTCAGGATAAAGCTCATTGTCCTTTCCACATCAAAACAGGAGCTTGTCGCTTTGGGGCACACTGCAGCCGTATTCACTTTTATCCTGACAAATCCTGCACATTACTTGTGAAAAACATGTACAATGGACCTGGCCTTGCCTGGGAGCAAGATGAGGGGCTTGAGGTCTGTTATGAAGTCTTCATGTGGCTCAAGTATCCTGATGCTTACTTTTCAAACTTTAGCATTTGTCAGATATAATACCTAAATGGAGTTTCTTCTTGATCAAAGGAACACTTTGCATGCTTTCATGTTCTTTGTGCTTTAAATTTATCTTGGTGCTCATGCTTTGGCTGGGTTATACTGATCTTTCTGTTGTCCATTGACCATTGTAATATATGTTCAGCTTTTGGCTTCACAAACTCAAAATGCATATATAAAATTTGACTTCCACCTTCACTATATAGTAACATTAGTGTAATGGCTTTTGTGTAATGTTTGGTTCCTGAATAAAAATTTTTAATTCTAAGAATCAAGTTTACCTTTTTTTTTTGTTTTTTTTTTTGTTTTTTTTTTTTTTTGTTTATTCTTTAACTTGATTAGAACAGAACTACTGCCCTGAAACAATGGAGGTACGTGGTTCTCGCAATGGTTGGGTTGAAGACTAAAAAGTTCTGTATCCTACATGCAGCAATATTGAGTTAGAAGAATGCTATATATTTACACTGTTCAGTTATTTGTTTGTGTATGGTTTCTTGATTATTTCTTCTGTTTTTTTGGGTTTGCTGCTTTCACTTACGCTCCACATATGCTTATACGGACACTCTTGGCTACTTCTTTGCTCTCCAGTGCACAGATGAGGAGGTTGAACATTGTTATGAAGAATTTTATGAGGATGTGCATACAGAATTTTTGAAGTTTGGAGAGATAGTAAATTTCAAGGTATGTTACTTATATCATGTGCTGCATATATGTGTATATACATATATTTGCACAAGTAAAGGTTTAGCTCATGATAATGATTCATGTCTATGTTATAATCATGAATCAAGTTGCTTTGTCATGCTTGGGACCAGGGAAGTTTGCTAGCATGGCCTCACCACTTGTAAATCAGTAGATTCTGCTGTGCTAACATGCATTCAATTGCAACCTGGGTGTGTAACAAATGTGTACTTTTCATTTAGGTATGCAGAAACAGTTCATCCCATTTACGGGGGAATGTCTACGTGCACTATAAATCATTGGATTCCGCTGTGCTTGCTTATCATTCTATAAATGGTCGTTATTTTGCTGGCAAACAGGTAGATACCCTCCACTTATCTCAAGACTGATAATGCTCTATTTGTCAATCAAAATGAAAAGACTGCTATACTTAATGGCAGGGGCATTGCTTTTGTAATTTCTGGCATTGAGAATTTCACACAATTTTGATTATTGGATTTGTTTTGTGTACTCCTGGGACCGGGAGTAGACAGTGTTAGTGTGCACGGTGCATACGACATATATAGTTTAACCATATCAATAAGTTATTTGCTGTTTACAAGCAAGTATACAAAGCTAAGCATTGTTATTTTCTTCATTAGTAATTAATGGTTTGCTCTGTATAGATTATATGTGAATTTGCTAGCGTGACAAGATGGAAGGTTGCTATATGTGGGGAGTTTATGAAATCAAGGCTTAAGGTAAGCGTCAATTTCTGTAGTATATATTTATGAATTGTTATATCCTGGTGTGGTGCAATTTTATTTTGATGGTTCTGCAAAGTTTGATCCCATTCTTTCTTTGTTCCCTGTTGACATACTATGCATTAACTTAAGGGTGTGTCTTGCCAGACATGTTCTCGTGGAACAGCATGCAATTTTATCCACTGTTTCAGAAACCCTGGTGGAGATTATGAATGGGCAGATTGGGATAAGCCACCCCCAAATTACTGGATAAAAAAGATGGCTGCATTGTTTGGCTATTCAGAAGAGTCTATCTATGACAGGCAAATTGAGCGAGAAGACTCTGAACATATCAGGTACTTCAGCAAAGATATATACAGTTGATGTAGGCAGGTCTGATGAATTTTATTCTACATGTGTGTGTGTGTACCCCCGTATGTATGTATGTATGTATGTTTTTGCTTGGATTATGTAATTATGTATTTGTTTGTATTTCAATTCGTATTTTATCTATCTGCATGACAAGTTTTTGATTTGACAGGCATCACTCTGAAAGATCTCAGTCAAGAGAGAGTCGATGGTCTCGATCAAGAGAGGATAGGAGTTTAACAAGCCATAAGGAACACGATGTTCGAAGAAGAGAACATAGAAAGCACCCCAAAGGTGTTGATGAGAAAAGATGTGAAGAAGAGAGAAATTCTAGAACTAACCAGCGTCATAAAAATAGCTCTTATGATGATAGCAAATCTGACAGACATTGGTCGGCTAAACATAGAGATGGACTTGACCACTGTGATAGCACCAGGAAAAGATCAAGACATCCGGTGTCTGAAAGATCAGAATCTCAAGATCGTCGTGATGACGGGAAGAGCAGAAGTAGTAGCACTGATTCTGATTCAGATTCAGATTCAGATTTGTTTGGCAGAAAAAGAGAGGGGGATGCTGAACTTGGACACACTACAAAGAACACAAGACATGTAAAGAAGGCACCCGAAGGCCTAGATGATTTGGCATACAGCAAAAGTAGAGCATACAGTACTGATAGAAACAGAGAATCACACCACAATGCCAGGGGAAGAAGCTCCAGTAAATATCAAAACACTGTGTCTGTATCATCAGATGATCATTGGGATAACAAGACCAAATCTCCTCGTAGAAATGCCAATGGAGATCAGACTGCTGGGGTCAAAGATAGCCAGCGAGCAAACAGCAGGAAATCCTCAAGGTGTTTGAATGAAGTCTCGCTTGATAACGATGATGTTCAAGAATATAAAAGATCCGACGAGGATCATTCTGGGTATGTGGGGAGCATATCCCAGAGTCCCAGATACCACACTGGTGAAGATATTGATGAAAGAGGCAGGTGGGGAGCATATGGGAAACATGTGGAATCCAGCAAGAGAAAGGCATCTGATTATAGCCATAAGGAGCGTAAGAAAAAGCACAGAAGTCATCACAGCAGAAGTGATAAAGGTGATTCTTAAAACGCGGCTAGTGGAGATATATATATACTATCTGATAAACGTTGAAAATAGATTCTGTACATTCATATGCTTATCTTGTTCATACGCAATTACACGCATGAGACCAGAGTAGAATGTGAAATCGTTCTTCCCTGCCTTTTTCTGAGTTATGTGCTCTTATTTGTTTAGTCCTATTTCCTCAATTGTGGTATGCTAATAGCCTAATGGTGTCATTAGTAGTTATAATGAATAAAACAAGAAGGAAAGCACTTTTTACTATTACTTTTCCAATAAATCTTTAGGCAGAAACTTCTGACAAAATCTATGTGAGACGGTGTGTAAATACATTTTTAATATACTAAAAGTACATTATTTGTGTATTGAATGTATATTATACAAAATAATTTACTCTTAGTACTCAAATAATGTAATATAAAGTACATTTTTAATTTTTAATATGCTAAAAATATATTATTTGATAGTATACAAAATAATGTACTTTTTATTTATGATTACACAATAATGCTCTTTTGTGAGACGGGTTGGGTTATAAACAATTAGATGTGTAAGTATCACAATTTCGATTATAAGTATTACAATATTTATCATTGGTAACAATCAATTTTACTCAAAATAATACAAAGTATAACAATTTCACATATAAATATTATAATATTTATCATAGATAGCAATTTATTTTTAATTCAAATTAGTATTAGTTTTTTACAATAAGTATTACAATTTCTTTTATAAGTAATATTTCACATATAACTATATAAGTATTACAATATTTACAATAGAATTGCATTTTGTAATTATCACAAATTCAATTATAAGTATTTACAATATTTATCATTAGTAACAATTATTTTATTTTAAATAGTATCACAATTTCACATATAAATATCACAATATATACTAGTGTTTTCATCCGTGCGATGCACGGAGTGGATTTGTTGTAAACTTGTAATATATTAAGAATATTTGAATCGATATATAATTATTTAAATTAGACTATCAAATATTATATAGTATAATTAAAGATATGATTTGTTGTTTTTGTTTTGTTAAAGTTCAAGATTTTGTTTTTATATATATTATATATTAGAATAGGAATTGTGTTACACTATTTTATAATATAAGAATATGAATTTTAATCTAGAATTATAGTACGAATAGAAATGTAGAAAACAATATATTTTTATTAGAAAGAGATATGTTTTAAAAATTAGGCGGGAAGTTGAAGTTCAAGATTTTGTTTTTATATATAGTATAAATAGATTATAAATAATAATTTATTTATTTCAATAGGTTATGTCAACAACCTAACCAACTTAACTTGCATTGTTCTAAAATTATTTTAAAGTCAAACCTACATGTTCATAATAAGGTGGATTTTATATATATATATATATATATATATATATATATACCATTTATATTTTATATTAAATTATCTCAACATTCCCCTACACCTACATTTACCGAATTCATTCCGTGATGGTCAGTGTGGGTATTTTTGAAGATGTTAAACAAAATTAACAACAATTTAAAATTAAAAAAAAAAAAGAAAATGACAAAATAAGCCTTTAAACTTTATAAGGAAATAATTAAGTCTCTGAACTTTAAAAAAAAATGCAATTAAACACTTGAAATTGTCAAGATCAATCAAATAAGTTATGTTTATCGTAAACTAATAGATTATCGGTAAAATTACAATGACATGCCATGCAGGCTACCGTTGATCTCTATAGTCGAAAATAAAATTTCCGCCATTAAAAAAACCAATTGCCAATCACCTTCGATGGAGAAGGCGACTCGACTAGCTAGCTAGTCATCTTCTCCACTGGGGAAGATGATTGACAGGTCGCCTTCTCCACCGTCACCTTCTTCTTCAATCGTTGGTCGTTAAAATTTTTGCCGAAATCTTAATGACCGATATTTCAGCTGGATAACCCGCTATATTAAATTTAAATGCACTAAAATGACAAGTTTAAATATTTAATTATACATTTTTAATTAAATTCATGTATTTAATTATTTTTTCGTGTAAAATTTAATGGTATATTTGAATCCTTTCTAAAAATATAAAAATATATTATCCTATCCCATATATAACATGAAATCACGAATGGTAAACGTGATGGCCACAAAGACATGAACCATTGGTGAGTATCAGGTTATGCGCTATTGTCGCACAATTCAATGCTGCCCATCATATCTTCATTCTACAAATCAAACATAAAATAATACTCTCTCCTATCATCAGTGTTTGTACCTTAACATAATATATACATACACTCTTCTTTGAAATCCTTTGTTTCTTCCTTTTCCCAAGTTTGCATTCTCCTCATCTCCTCATCAAAGAATTGAATGCGCTTTTAATTGGCATTTTCTTGTGTCATCTAAGGTATAATCACTTCTCTCTTCATCTCGATATATGTTTAATTTATTAATGTTATCATTGATCTTTAAATGCGTATGTATAACGTGTATGTGCTCATATATATGTATATCAGCAATTTGTCGTCCAAACATATACCTTAAGATCAGATTTTTCGTGTATGTTTTAGTTTTGGTAAAAAAGTAATGACATTCTAATACAGAACAAAGTATGTAGTCGCATTATTGTATACAATGCATCCATTCGTGGTTCAGATACAAAGGGTCGGGTTTGATTTTCCTTAAATAAAATTCTAAGTGTTGAATGATCTCCAATTTTGTTATAAAAAAAAATATGAAAGGAAAGCTTAACACCACTATATACACCATATAATTCTTTTGTATATATATGTTTACATTTTGGTAGAACAGCAATACAATTCTTGCACACAATCTACCACTCAAAAACTAATTGAGCTGTCTGTCGTACCAGCAAAGTAACACAATTCTACTACATTGTATTGATGAGATTATGCTTTGAAGTTTTGATATTGAGCTAATAATAATATTTTTTTTTTTTTTGCAGGTTTGAAAGTGTATATATATATATATACACATATATATAAAGATATAAGATGGCAACAAGGGTGAGGGAGAGTGGAGTGAGGGGAAAGGAGAAGAAAGGAAATCAAGCTGATAACACCATGCCACAACAACACAAAAGAATCACAACCACCAATACAACCTCAAGATTAATGTCTTCTTCTTCTTCTTCTGTTGCTAATAATTCTGTCCCAAACTATTTGCGGCCCACCACCGCCTCCGCCGCCGTGCAGGGCGCCGGCGGAGACAAGCCCATTTCTTCCAGAAGAAAGTCCCTGGATAAGCCACTACTACCCAATCTTGAGACCGCCCACCGGAATCTCGCCGGAGATAAGCCATCGCCGGCCAGAAGAAAGTCCTTTGACAGACCAATTATTCAACCACCACATTCCCCACTTTCTTCTTCCCCACTTTCTTCTTCCTCTCTAGCACCTAAGCCCACTTTTTCCAGAACAAAATCCAGTTTGGACAATTCCAAGCCAAAATCATCCACAAGAACTTCTGAAGCTAATGATAGGAGGGGCAAAATTATGTCAAGATCCATTTCTTCAGTTTCCAAATCCTCTTCTTCTTCTTCTCCTTCTCCCATTGCCCATAATAATCATCTTTTGAACAGACCAACCACCCCCAAGACACCACAGAAAAACAGTACCAGAAAACAACCTGGTACTACCTTATTGTCTCCGAAGCCAGTCAAGAAGAAGCCAGCAGAGACCATCCATATCCTAACCTCAAATCATCACCAAGAACCATCTGTTCCAGTTCCAGAATCCCCAGATCATCATACAGAGGTTTCTGCTAATAACCCCGATTCGAATCAAACCGAAATCAACAACAACAACAACAAAATAGTACAAGAAAAGGAAAACATTAATGTTGTGGTTTCAGATAATCATGAGGAATTGGAGGATAATCTCAACTCCATTGAAGATTGCTCCTCCTTGCTATCAGATCCCCCCATTCTTGATCCTCTGGACACCATTACTGAGGAAGGAGAGATCTCAGCCCCCGAAAACCTCCAAGAAATCGGCCAAAATGCAGACACAATACCACCACCCGAAGATCATCCACAGGTGGAAGATAAAGACAACAATCTAAAGGAAACAACACCTGCAGATGACGAAGTTTCTGTGGAAGAAGTGGGAGATGATGAGACTATGCAAAACATCAGTGATAATAATAACTGCAGTGAAGACAAGGCAGAAAACCAAGAAGAAGAAGAGGAAGAAGAGGAAAGGGAGAAAGAGAAAGAGAAAGAGAGAGACAAGAAACCAGACAACCACCATCATCATCAGGAACTAGCTGATGAAGAAGTTAAGGAAATAACTAATGATCAGAACAACAACAACAACAACAACGTTGTTGTTGTTCAGTCATCGTCACCAGAAGCCAGTAAACCGGCACTGAAGAGAAACGAGAGCGTGGTGTCTAATGATGTGATTGAGGAGACTGCAAGCAAGCTTCGCGAACAAAGGAAGAATAAGGTGAAAGCACTTGCTGGGGCTTTTGAAACAGTCATATCTTTGCAAGACAAGTGATATATATATATATATATATATATATATATATATATATATATATATATATATATATATATATATGCTGATGATGATTTCTTCTGTTGGTTGGTGGGATCAATCCACTCCAACAATTTATATGTTTTATATATATATATATGTATATGCATACATAAATTTGGTGATTATAAGCCTGCATATATGTGTGCTATGGTGCAGTATCAAAGAATGATGAGCTGATCACACAATTGTTTTCTTTAATTTTCTTCTGTTGCCAATCTTCCTGTTTCTGTAATATATATCATCATAGTGTGTTTAATACTTATAACTATTCCCATAATCCCCTTTAATTTGTTAGATTATTATTGTCATAAGAGGCGTATTTTGTGTTAGACATACCAAGTAAAAAATGGGGTGAGATCTAAGCCTCTAAGTTGTTCGTTTAAAATAAAAAATTTAAGTAAGCTTCCGCGATCATTCTCAGCCATCGATCATTCCATTCTGTTGTGGATTTCATTATATTCCATAATTCAATTCAATGGTCTTATGCAGGTAAAAACAATTTTGTATGGATTGGTCGAATGCTTATGGGGTCCAATGCTTATGGTGTTCATCAGGGATTCTGAGTTTAGAGAAGGTTTAATTGATCCATTATTTAAGGATAAGAATATGCATTGGAAGCTAGAGGGACAATGTGCACTGGAAGAAGGTGCACTTGAAGAAGAGAAATTATGTAAAGAAGAAAAATATACACTCAAAGAAGAGAAATTATGTACTTAAAAGTAAAAATATTTTTTTTGAAAGGTACAAATAAAAATATATTTATATATGATACTACAAATTGTTTTGAGTACTCTCATCTTCTATCTCTATTTTTCATGCAATTTCATACACATGATATACATACAAAATACACAAAGAATTCGTAGTATCATATATAAATATATTTTTAATTTTCAAGTACATAATTTCCCTTTTTTGAATGCACACTTTTCTTCTTCAAGTGCATAATTTCTCTTTTGCAAATGCATAGTTTTCTTCTTCCAGTGGACATTGTCCCTCTAGCTTCCCGTGCATATTCTTACCCCCCTAAATAATGGATAGTTTCCTTCTTCTAGTGCACATTGTCCCTCTAGCTTCCAGTGCTTACCCTTAAATATTAGATCATTTAAATCTCCATTAAACTCAGAATCCCTGATGAACACCATAAGCATTGGATCAGATCAATCCATACAAATTGTTTTACATGCATACTAAATTATAATTCTAATTCAACTATGGTTTCAATGGACAATATATATTCAAATTTGTGAAACTTTTATTCAATTTCATTTTATATACACTGTAGTTTCATTACAACACAACTACAGTATCATTTCGATATAACTACAATTTCATTTGGCAATATACACTCAATATGCGAGACATGTTATTCAGTTTCTTTTTATACATGTTGTAGTTTCATTTCATCAAAACTAAAGTATCATTTCTATTCAACTACAATTCTATTTGACAATATACATTCAATATGTGAGACATGCTATTCAGTTACATTTTATACATACTACAGTTTCATTTCAACACAACTAAAGTATCATTTCAATTCAATTACAGTTTCATTTGATAATATAAACACAACATCCGAGTCAGTTTCATTTTAGATACACTGTAGTTTCATTTTGTTATAAACACACAAAAATATGAAATTTGTTAATAACGACTACTTTTTTGTTTTGTTTTGTTTTTTACTTAAAAATACGGCACCATTTTTAGACCATGGTCCACAATATAAGAAACGAGAGTTAATTTCATGGGTTGTAACTAGAGACACCAATTGGGTCAAGCCTTATACTTCATGTTTTACACGTTATACTTTAATAGCAAATTATATTGTGATCCTCATGATCTTGTAGGATTAATTCTAATACTGAGTAAGGGGTGTAGTATTCAATCATGACTTTTATAAAATTTTAAAGGTTTTTATAAACTTTAAAAATTTGGAGGTATTTAATTCAAAATTTTTAGAGTCTTTAAAGGTTAGGTGGTATTCAATCAAGATTTTTAAAGAGTCTTTAAAAGTCAGGTGTTATTCAATTAAAACTTTTAAAGAGCTAGTCTTTAAAAGTCAGGTGATAGGACTTTTGTAAAATTTTCCTTCTCAAATATAAATAGTTGAAATTCAGCACTCAACTTCAAGATTTCAAAATTTTCTGTCTACTAACGCTGAAGGTTTTCTCTCTCTATTTAAACTCTATTTTTTATTCCTATTTAAAAAAAAAAAACTCTCATTCCGAAAAGCTTAATCGCTCATTCTAATTATCATAATAGTGTATACTGCCTCGAAGGCAAAAATAATCAAAGTATAATTTTGCCAAACACCTTGTGCTCAGATGATATTTTCTATGCAGGGGCGGACCTACAGTGGGGGCAGCTGCCCCCACTCACCCCACCTCACCCCATATATAACCCTTGTATGTATATGTGTATGTATATATAGTATATCATTCAGTATAAGTAAAAGAAAACAGCTAATATTTATAAGAAGTAAGTTAGCCTAGATGGCAAAGCAAGCGTGTCTTTATAACGAAGGGCAAGGTCTCGAATCTCTCTTATGGTGTGATTCCATATTTTATGGCTATTTGAATAGTAGTGGCTCCAAGCCTCCAACACAATTTTAGGCTTTCAAAGAATCAAAATATATGTAATTACTTTTATATTAATAAAATGTGTACCCTTTCAAAAAAATAATAATAAAATATGTAATTTATAATGTATTTTCTATTAATAAGATGTGTACCCTTTCAAAAAAATTATAATAAAATATGTAATTTATAATGTATTTTCTATTAATAACAAGACGTAAAATGTGTACCTTTCAAAAAAATAATTAAAAAAATATAATTTATAATGCATTTTCTATTCATAATAAGACGTGTAATTTATAATGTCTTTCCTATTAGAATTATTTTATCAAATTAATTATGTTTCATATTTTGTTATAAATATTTTTTTTTATTTTTTCGTTCATATCTAACAATATTTATGGTTAACTTCTTAATTGTTTCAACTTTTTTAAGCTATCCCTTTTGTTTTAATGTTTTGTCCCACTGAACAAAATTTCTGGGTCCGCCACTGATCGAGCCTCAGTGGAGGCGTCTTTATTAGGTTGAGAAAGCTCAGTGGAGGCGTCTTCATTAGGTTGAGAAAGCTCAGCGGAGGCGTTGACTCTGTGTGCTTCATTAGGTTGAGAGGCGTTGACTCTGTGTGCTTCATTAGGTTGAGAAAAGTATGTTATGTTTGAACAGATACTACAATATAATAGAGTCAATAACATTAAAAAAAATCAAAGTATAATTATTTATTTATATTAAATTTTTATTTTTTATTTTATGCAACTAATTATATTTTTAAATATTTTATTTGAACAATTCTATTTCCATAAATTTTAGTGTTCAATATTATTATGAATTTTTAATGAAATAATTTTTTTGTTGATGCTTATTAATACTACGCGTTTTGAGAATGAAATAATGTCCAATGATTATTTTTAAATAAGTATTTCAAAGTATATAAATGTAATATTATATCGGAGATGTTCATGCATAGGTAAATAAATATTGAATTTGTTTATTTAAATCGGCAATTTAAAGTATATAAATGCAAGATAATAATATATGAGAGATTGGTTTTATTGTCACTAAAATAAATGTTACAACTTTATAATAACGCTAGTCAAAATACTATCTAAATAATTAAATACTACTTTTTGGTTTAAATTTCTCTAATACTACGACTATAATTACAGGATTTAGTCCCTAGGAGTTAATACACATACATGAATAATTCAGGGAGAAAAAAAATATTATAAGCATATAGTTAAGGAGAAAAGTGTCATTTTTTCTATTCTAAATAATTTAAATTATTTGTGTCATTGTATTTATATTATGATTTATTTATATTAAAATAAAGTTAACAATTAAACTTTATATAGTTGTTTAATTGTAAAGAAAAAAATAACTATAATTGTTTGGCCGAATGTAGGTGACAGGGGATCTTGAAAATTTATTAGGAGTAAAATTTAAGAATATATTTTCTCCAAAATAAATATTTTTTTCTTTGATGAAATTAAACACCTTTGTTAACTTCATTTGCTATAAAATAGTTAAACATAAAAAAAATTAATAGAACTCTTTCCATAAAGGATCCGTTGAAATCAAAATCTGTTTTTTCATTAAAATATCAACTATACATACATGTTTTAATAAGGCAGCCTAGCTTAAAACCAAGCATGGGCAGCATATTGGGCGGCCTTTGTCACAAGCTACATATACTTGTTTATTTCTATTTAAAAAAAATGGTAAAAGAAACTCTCAAAATATTTCTTATTTACAAGTCACCGGGGGACACTTGCTTGCCGGTTAACGTAGGTTTCGCATTTGAACAATTAGTTTTTGCAGCTCCTCCTTTGAAGGTCAAATTAATATCACCAATTTCAACTCCTTCACATGGCACTCCACTACTGCATGCAATGATCACTGCTTCCTCTGTTGCAGAAGTACCCTTTATGTCCTTATAGCTTACTTTGCTGATCTTTACTAGTGATGGTTTCTACAAATAAATATAAAACACACTATGTCTTAATAAAATCATCCCATCATCAAGGAAATCTTAGCAAAATTAAGTTGACTTACACAGTAGGGTAATGTGGGTATTATATACCTGTTTTGAGCATTCATTATTTGGGCAGTATTCTTGATCAATCACAATTGAATTTTTGACATCTTCCATGGTTATATTCTCATATTGAATGTCACTAACGCATCCAGGATGAGAATTAGGCCACGTTTTAATTCTAACACCGTTATCTGTACCAATAAATTTACAGTCTTTAACAAAGACACCCTTCATTGGCTCTTCACCAGGGATCTTACCCAGGCTTCCCACACTAATGCCGTGTCCCGGCCCACATGTCACACCAGTGATGTTAAGGTTTTCTAGCCCATTCCCAATGGATATGCAATCGTCTCCGGTCCCTATAACACTATCTTTTACGGTAACATTCAACTATTTTTGCAATATGAATTCCATCCGTATTGCAACTGTCCGCTGGCGCTTTAACAGTGAAATGATCAAACGTAAATCCTACGTCATCATATATATAAACCCGGATAAGTAAATTCTCAAGCAAGCAAGCTACCTGGATAATGATTAAGGAGCACAATTTCTTTCTTTTCTTAAAAAATTACTTACATCGCTAATATCACAATCGGGTTCTGCAGCAACCTTGATTTCAGCACTCTCTCCAAGATGCGCTAGCAAGAATAATACAAATGTGAAGACACAATAAAATATTGTATCCATTTATCTGTTTGTTGGATAGATTTTAGTATTATTATTATTATTATTTTTCCTTTGGATGATTGAGATAAATCATAATGTTAAAAGTATTTATAGTGTTGCTCACTAAACTAATCCCCACAAAAGTAGTTAAAAAATGCTTACTTTTTCTTTAGTTATTATTGTGTGGTTACAAATATGTGGGTGATATTTTTTTTTTTAGTTATTTTTTAATGTTTCTTTAATGTAAGGGGTATTTACTCATTAATTTTTATTTTGTTATTAGGCATAATTATATACATTTTAATCTTTACTATATATAATAATAATAATAATAATAATAATAATAATAATAATAATAATAATATTCTCTGGCTTATTGTTTAGCTAGATATCATTTTGGCTCGAGTTCGCCAAGGGAATTTATTTTTTTTCGGTGTAAG